CCCCTCCCCCCACCCCCAATCACTCCCTCAATAAGAGACACTGAACAATAATCACAGCAAGAGTAAATATTAAGTGCATTTCATTTGTGAATTCTCAGTACAAAAAGAAAAAGATTTTATCAAAGCTATTATTCTTTTTCCAATAGTTTATAACTATACATAAGCGCTTAGTATCGAGTTTACCGAAATAACGAACAGAATGATAGAAATTTTTAAATTTGTGAAATATATATATCATACTGTTTATAGTTTCTAACCAAAAGCTTAGTATATGTAAAATTACCTGCAGATGATTTCATGTGTGAGAAGAACTCGTTGCATTTCAGGATTTTTATTATGTATGCTTCCTTCATAGCACACAGCCTAGCATCAAAACAAATATTAATAATAATACCCCATTAAAGGGAGTGTTCGCGAAAAATGAAAGGGGGTATAGGCTTAATGCGATAAAAAAGCGCTTTTAATCGCCACTAATCTTACTTATATCTGTTGTGTCTATACGGAGAAACTTGTTAATTGAGAAAATTGTAACATACGACTTAGACCGTAAAAAATCAATTTAATTAAAATCATATCATTTAGATATTACAATCTATAGTCATCGATTATCTTTCGCCACATTTGTATATAGTTTATATTTTATAATATTTTTTAATTAATTTGTTTTGAATTTGATTATTTCTCTTGCGGCTTGCGCAACTATCTAAGAATGCTGCGGACCACTCATATTTTTCGAAATCAGTTAAAACGTTTTCTAAAAATATAAAATATTATAAAATATAAACTATATACAAATGTGGCGAAAGATAATCGATGACTATAGGTTGTACTATCTGAATGATTTGTTTGAAATTAAATGGATTTTTTACGGTCTAAGTGTATGTTGCAATTTTCTGAATATGTATGGGCGCTAAGTTATTCGGTATGAGACGTCTTTAACAAGTTTCTCCTTATAGACGCAACAGATAGAATTAAGATTAGTAGCGATCAAAAGCGCTTTTTTATCGCATTAAGCCTATACCCCCTTTCATTTTTCGCGAACACGCCCTTAAAAGGGACTGGAAGCGTAGTTTCAAGTGACTCTCCATAGATGGCAATGTCCGATACACAAAGGTATTCTTGAAAGCTTAGTCTAATTAAGTATGAATTAGATATTGCTGATTATAATTTTGAAAACTGATTATTTTCAAAGTTGCTTGCGCTTTTCGCCTGCATGAAAACATATAGGAATTATCAGAAATAAATAATGTTTAATCAAGAGAAACAACACTATCTTCTACAGTTTTGATCAGACACAAGTTTTAAGAGTAACGTTGTGAATCGGGCGTTGTTATTTATGCAAGAAAAGTCACTTTAAACTATCCTTACAGTCCCTTTAATAAGAAAATCTACGGATCGAGAATATGCCTTTTTTGAAATTGAAAACAAGATAAAATATTTTTTGAAGGTACACGTTCTAATTTTTACAATTATCATAAATACCTGTTTTGTAACGGAATCGATAAGTCGAACAAATATATCCTGCTCCTGACGAACTCCTAAAATAAAAAAGATATTCAAAAAAATAGTTTGCTATAAGAAATATATAATAATGCTTAATGATATCGTTAATAATCTACAACGCCTGAACTTGAGAAGTTTACGCTTTATAGTAGAAACGATTAAGTCCTTTACCCGTGGACTGGTCCACCTAATCTGCCCAGCCCTACAAACACTTTCCATTCCAAAATGGTCTGTCATTGTTTTGCTTCCAAAAATACAAGAGCTATAGATGGAAAGCCATAGTATTTAATGGAATTAGAAATTCTGACCTTTCTGTTTTATTATTTCATAATGTAATTTTTAACTTAATTAAAAAATGTACTTGTGCTTTGTTGTAGGGTTTCCAACGGAATTCCGGTTTATGGTTTTCGAACAGAAATTATTCGGATTTTTTCCATTTTCCAGAATGTTGTTTTTTTCGGTTTACGGAATCGGAAACTGTAAATATCCCGGAAATCCACTTTGCGGAAAATTATTCCAGATCTTGTAATTTCCAAAACGGAATTTTTTCCCCCTGAATAATGGAAACCCTATCATTAAGACATTTGTGATCCTAAACTCAAACTAGAAATATAAAAGTTTTTCTTTAACTTTTATTTTTAACTATTCATAAAATAATAATTAACAAATAACTAGTTTTAAGCTCAAATGCAATCATGAAGTAGTTTATCCTAGAGGTACCTTTGATATTTCTAACTGGCAAATGCAGTTTAGAATATCGTGAAAGTTTGGAGTATCATTATCAAAATTAAAGTTGGAAGGTGAGACATCAGTTCCTTTAGAAACATTTTCTTAAATTCTAGCGTGACGATTTCAAAATAAGATCTAATTCTTTTTAGACATCCATGTTTTAATTCTAACAAAGACTCAAAATTAGATTGTTATTTGTGAATAGAGTTCCAATGTTTCATTCTAAACTTGTCATTCTGAAATTCTGTTTGATGAAGAGTGAATTCTGTTTACTGGAAACAGTTGAAAACAAACCCATTAAACTTAAATAAACAGTACAAACAGAATTCATGCATATTTAATAGGAGAATTCAGTTCAAAATAAGCTTAAGTTCCTTGATCTAAGCTTAACTATGGGCTCGGCGGTATAAATTTCAATCTCCGGATAAATTGTTTGAATTGTCTGAATTTGTATAAACGGCCCCAGGTCGGACATTTTCTTGAAATTTTATTGTATTTCAACAATTTAAATTTTATTATTAGATGAATAAAGAAGATTGCGCCGGGATGGAGATGAGGGGAATTGTAAGGATTCATTTGTTTTATTTATCTTACTACATGACAGAGACTGCAGCTATTGTGTGCGCAAAAAAAACTTTGTAAAACAAAATTTTGTCTTTAAGAAAAAAATGCATTTTGTGATTTTACATAACTGTGATTCAGATGGTCTGGTTTACAAGACAGTGATAATGCACCTCAAACTTAATTTATATTGCGTGGCCGGTTTTTTGGACTTTACAATGAGAACTATTTGGTCCATACGCTTCTTTGATTAATTTTTATACTTTTATTATGACATGATATAGTATCCATAAGTTTCCCACTTGTTCCCACTAGTTACCACTTGTTATGAAAAAAAGTGCATTATCTTTTTTGCTATTTTAAAAAGTGTTTAATTCTATCAGTTATCATCTTTGGTTCTGCAGCATAATGCATGCTGCAAGTCACGTTCATGAATAAAAATCCAAAATAATTTATAAGCTATTAAACAAAATTAACTCGTTTATTCTTAAACAGAAAAGGGTTTAAAGGGATCCGTTTTGAATGGGACGTATACATATCAATCTTTAAAAATATCAATCTGAGAGAAGTCACAAATGGTTGCAAATTCAACATAAATAAAAACACTTAAAGTATAACACTCCGGGTAGAGAGTGTCATATATAGTGCAATACAGGCCAATATAGTCCTATATAATCGAATATAATCCAAAATAGTTCATTACAGTCCAATATATAGTAATATTGGACTATTTCGGACTATACTAGACTATATTGGACTCTAGAATTTTCGAGAAAATTTTAGTCTTTAAGCGAAATAGACTTTTCAGAGGTCTGAATAGAGGAAAATAATTCAGAATCGGCGTCATCGTGTTTAAGTAAAGTTACAAAGTTACGCGTCTTAGGAAATTGTGTATTTTTATTTTAAAAGGAGAGTTTTCTCAGGGGCAAATATGAATAGTTAAATATTTTTCGATTTTGAAATGTTTTTTTTTATATGAACTCTGGACTGGACCTTTACACAAAATTATATAACAGGTCAAATTTGATTTAGAAACTTTTTTTTGACAAATCCTAACCCCAGAAGTCAGGACACCCCCAGGAAAAGAAACATATGATACAATAGTGAAATTAAATTGAGATGAATGAACGAGGGGAGGGGTTGGATTGGGACTGCAGGCTGTCAGATTGTCAGATTTTATATTTTACCATCTTCCATTATTCATAGTAAACATATATTCATGAGAAACATGTTTTCATAAGGATTTTTTTCCATCAGGAACCTATTCTCATAAGAAACCTATTTTCATAAGAAATCTATTCTCATAAAAAACCTTTTCTCATAAGAAACCTATTCTCATAAGTAACCTATTCTCATAAGAAACCCATTCTCATAAGAAACCTATTCCCATAAGAAACCTATTCTTATAAGAAACCTATTCTCATAAGAAAACTATTCTAATAAGAAACCTATTCTCATAAAAAACCTTTTCTCATAAGAAACCTATTCTCATAAGAAACCTATTCTCATAATTAACCTATTCTCATAGGAAACCTATTCTCATAAAAAACCTTTTCTCATAAGAAACCTATTCTCATAAGAAACCTATTCTCATAAGAAACCTATTCTCATAAAAAAACCTTTTCTCATAAGAAACCTATTCTCATAAGAAACCTATTCTCATAAGTAACCTATTCTCATAGGAAACCTATTCTCATAAGAAACCTTTTCTCATAAGAAACCTTTTCTCAAAAGAAACCTATTCTCATAAAAGCATATTCTCATAAGAAACCTATTCTTATAAGAAACCTATTTTTAAAAGAAGCCTACTTTCCTAAGGAACCTATTTTTATAATGTAAGTTTTTTTTCAGAGAGAACCTTTATGTTCCGCAAGGAACCATTTTTCCTTTCTTCCAATTTTCATAGGTTTAATATTTTTCATAACAATCATTTTCTTTATGCACAATTTGTCCATCATGATCATTCCTCAAACGGAACATTTTCATAAGAAGTACGTTTTCATAAGGAACATATTTTTAAATGAAAACAAATCTAACCTATTTTAATGGGAACCAACAATTCTTTTCAATAAGAAATCCTTCACTTTTTTCAATTTAAATAAACAATTTACGACTTACCATTTGAATAAAGAAGTTGAAGTCTGTATTGTATACCGTTGCTTGATCTTAAACCATCCACTTCCTAGATATTCATTAATTCATTTATTCACTTCCTAGATATTCATTTATTCATTCATCCACTTCCTAGATATTCATTAATTCATTTAGTCACTTCCTAGATAGTCATTTATTCGTTCATCCACTTCCTATAGATATTCATTTATTCACTTTCTAGATATTCATGAATTCATTTATTAACTCACTTTCTATAAATATATTTATTCATTTATCCACTTCCTAGATATTCATTTATTCATACTTTCACTTCCTGGATATTGTTTTATTTATCCTTTTATTTTATTCTTTAATTTATTAATTAATTAACTCATTTTCTATATATTCATTTATTCATTCATCCACTTCCTAAATATTCATCATTTTATTTATTCTTTTACTTCCTAGATAGTAATATCATTTATTCATTTACTTCATAGATTTAGATATCTATGTTACAGATTAAGTTTAATATACGTATTTAAAGGATTAGCGCGGATATATATAAGCTTAGTTAAGCCAGTCACTGACGAAGTTATAAGTTAATCACAATACATGGTTTGTACATATTTACAGACGTAGCTAGGCTTGACTGATCGCATTACAAGTTTTGCAAAGTCATAGATAAACGCATTTGGATTTACAGACAATGTACTAAATCTAATATCTATAAGGTTTCTTCAGGTTAACAAATATAGAGATTGCTGTATTTATTACACATTCACTTCATAGATATTAGTTTAGCTATTCATTCACTTCCTAGATATTAGTTTAGCTATTCATTTACGTTCTAGATATTTATTTATTATATATTATTCAAATACTTCATACATTCAATCACTTCCTGAATTTTAATTTAATCATCATCAAACTTCCTAGATATTCATTTATTTGAAAAGTAAACCTCTAATTGTAAATCAATCGGTCGCACGATCGAACTTGTTTGTGACCAAGGACGTAATGCAAGGAAAGTTATTTCAGAAGTGTACGCATCTTTTGTACAGCAGTGTATGTCTCTGGGCGGTAATGTAAACACAAGACGGATGTCAAAGCCTGACATGGGATCCATCTTTCGCATAAAAAAATCAATGAAATATTCTGGTCATAGCTAGGAAACTATTATGTGAATTATCAAAATTATCAAAATTTTATGCTTTTAACCTTCTCGGATACTAAACGAACACTGATGATGCATCTATTCTTGTTTACAAATTCCGCCCAAAGAGAACTAGTTTCAATGTGTACGCAGAGTATACACGACCCCGCAATTAATTTTCCTTGCATGACACCCTTGTTTGTAACTGTGAGGTGTCACTGCATCCATCACTTTACCATATACAGATTATATAGAAATATAAATAATTCCAATAGATTCATAATTTTATATTCATTATTCTTCAACGATCCTTCATTTTGCTAACTCTCCCTTTAGGTTAGTTCAAAATTGTTTTATTACCTGATCTTTTTCTATAAATGCTACAAATGCTGTTCTTTCAACTTCTATAGGCTGACCAGATCTAGCCGCAGAGATTGTTGTCTTCTTGTTGAAATAATCTCTGTTCCTGTCATAAAGAGCGACAACAAAATGGAAAAAGTTTGATTTCCTGAGGTTTGCTGGAGGCTGCTTCTCAAAATGTGCTCGACCAACCCCGGGGACACCCCTGAATAAGAAAGTGTTCACTGTAATCTGGCAGAAAACATTTGTTGCATAAAGTCGACTCGACAGACTGGATTGTACGATTGAATGCATGAGGGAGGGGTGGCTGCTCTAAGGGTTAATTTTGAAATTGCACCTAGGGTATTGGAATTGCACCCAGGGTATTGGAGTGCTCCCAGGGTTTTGGAGTGCTCCCATAGGCTTGTGGTTGCTCCAAGGGTTTTGGAGTAAAATGTAAAAATTTATCCGACCTTTTATGAAAAGTCCTAATTGCAGTGAATAAAATCGCAAATTTCAGTCCAATTACAGGCTGTGGCGATCATATAGTTTTGATTAGCCAAACTAATGACATTTGTTTTAGCCTATACATTGATCATTATTGGTAAATAAGAGAATAAAATCTGTTTTTAGCTAGATACATAAAGGTTTCACTTGAGCTCGTCTAATACATCTCAGCATCTTTATAAGTTATTTCCAAATTTTTTAATAATAATAAAAATAATAATAATACTAATATTACAAATCGTTAATTGATTGTGGTCATTAAAAATGCGTTTTTACTCAACAGTCAATAGTAATAAAATAAAAAATGTTCTATGTTAAATTTAAAGCCTTCTATATGACGCACATTACAGCAAAAATCATAAAATTATTGAGATATCTGAGGAAATCTATGGTTTTTCTTATTTTTCCTCAGATAATTAAAAAATTTGATGATTTTTGCTATAGTGCACGCCATATTGAAGGCTCCAATTTTGACGTATAACAATTTTTATTTTGGGACTGTTGAGTAAAATTTCGTCAATGTGGCTAATCAAGAGTGACGATATGATCGCTAAAGGCTACGTGGACTGAAATAATGCGATCTTTTCTCTTTAAATATCTGAACAAAGAAAGTAAAAAAATAGTAGAGACCTTTTTTCAATTTCGGTTTAAAGTACCTTTTTTAAGGGACGTTTGATAAAAGGTGGGATAAATTTTTACATTTTACTCCAAAACCCTGGGAGCAACTCCAAAACCCTGGGAGCAACTCCAAAATCCTGGGAGAACTCCAAAACCCTGGGAGCAACTTCAAAATCCTGGGAGCAATTCCAAAACCCTGAGAGCATCCACTCCTCCCTCATCGAATGCACATACAGCTGTACCGGCTTGGATCATACAACTTTTATATTGGGGTGTGTTAGAACAAATACTTTTAATCTTTAGCTTTTTTACGTACTTTTAAAGATTATTCTAGATAGGATTTGACAATCTCCGAAAAATTTTTTTTATGGCTGGATTAAAAATTTGTTTTAAATGAATATAAGCTTCAAATAAAAAAGTTTAGATAGTTGAACACTTTTTAAATATATTATATTTTGTTCTTGTTTCAAAATAATCTAGGTTCATTTTTGTCCAAGTATAATTGTGATCTAACATGAACCTAACACCAGACGCAAGATAAATGGCTAGAATCAGATAGATTGCCAACTCTATTCAAAAGAAATCTTTTTTTGTTGAGAGGATTTTGATAATATTAAGTTTAATTTTGAAAACGGGGGAAAATGTCGGAAAATCATGGCACGCTTCTTTCAGAGACTCGCTGCTTACAAGATTGAGCTTATATGAATTATAAACTAAACGATTTCTTGCTAGAAAATAAATTTAAAAACTTTATGTACAAGTGGTTGTGCAAAAGAAATATAGGTTCAGTGTTCACTGGTATCGAATATAAGTCAACACTATTATAGGACCTGATGGGGCCGAAAAAAGGTAAAAATGCCTTTTTTTCAAATATTGAAACTTTATTAATAAAAAAGAGAGAAATCTGCAATTTATTGATTTGACAAGAGAGAAATAAAAAGGTTTCCAGATTAATAACAAAAAAGCATATGATTTTTAACACAAGAAGGGGCACGCGGAGAGCTTTGGATGCGAAGTCAAAAATCTGAAAGCCAAGAAATTTATTTTATTTTGCAATTATTTAAGTTTATCTATTTTGTATTCTCTCTTTGAAAATTTTTTAAAATTTGATAAAGAAAAAATTTATTATGTTTCATTTCTGAAAACAAATATTTAAGAAAATTTACTTTTGCACAATAAAAACTTGGTTCAATTTGAAGCATTTAAATGATTTTCACATAATTTCACTTACAGTTGCATCATAGGACTTGCAGGCAGTAGTGCCTTGTATACCTTAATAAAACCATAATGCACATTTGTGCTGGCCTAGCAGCCTAGCTGCCTAGATGCAGCTGAATCAGCATCTCTCATAATCTTAAATTAACTGGCGGATTTTCGGGGTTATGTCGAGGATTCCACTCCTAGCGGCAGTTTCTCCAACCGTTCCCGGTTCAGGATAAACCCCGAGGGCTGAGGTTACGGTACTAGATTTTTCAATATATTACCTCATCAGAGGTTAATAAAAGAGAGAGAAACTGAAAACTATGATTTGGAAATTTCTAAGAAAGAGATATTTCCCTTTGTCGTTCCTAATTATAATAATCATGAAAACTTTTAAAAAAATTTTCAAATTAAGGAAGTCGAATCTTGCTCAGACAAACCTACACATAATTCTAACCACCATTAGATATATTAACGTAGATGTGCCAGATCTGCTAAACAAATTTACAGAACAATCACTCGCAATTTTTTTTAAATGGCGTACCAAGCTCTGTTTTGCTTCCGGGGGGGGGGGGGTATTCGTAAAAAAATGGGTAAAATAGGTTCCGCTTTTAAAATCTTATTTCAGAAAATGTTCCGTCAGATGGTTGCGGACATCTGGAAAAAATAATAAAACCCGTTTAAAGACATACCCGTGGTCTGGTATGGCTGGTTGCATCCAGCTTCTGGTTAGTCCATGGTTTACCAGAGGTTCTTCTTTTAGTACAGGTCCCCGCACTTGGGATACTTGCTCTTGTAGTCCAAACATACCTAAACAAGTCCTAACATTCCTAAACAATTCCAAATATACCTAAAAAAGTCCAAATATACTTAAACAAGTTCAAACATACCTAAACAAGTCCAAACACACCTAAACAAGTCCAAACATACCTAAACAAGTCAAAACATACCTTAACAATTCCAAATATACCTAAAAAAGTCCAAATATACTTAAACAAGTTCAAACATACCTAAACAAGTCCAAACATACCTAAACAAGTCCGAACATTCTTAAACAATTCCAAATATACCTAAAAAATTCCAAATATACTTAAACAAGTTCAAACATACCTAAACATTTTCAAACATACCTAAACAAGTCCAAACATACCTAAACAAGTCAAAACATACCTAAACAATTCCAAATATACCTAAACAAGTCAAAACATACCTAAACAAGTCAAAACATACCTAAACAATTCCAAATAAAACTAATAAGTCTAAATATACCAATACGAGTCCATTCACGCCTATACAAGTCCAAATATACCTTAAAAAGTCCATACGTACCTAAACAAGTCCAAACATACCTAAACAAGTCAAAACATACCTAAACAATGCCAAATAAAACTAATAAGTCTAAATATACCAATACGAGTCCATCCACACCTATACAAGTCCAAATATACCTTAAAAAGTCCATACGTACCTAAACAAGTCCAAACATACTTAAACAAGTCAAAGCATACCTAAACAAGTCCAAACATACCTAAACAAGTCCAAACATACCTAAACAAGTTCAAGGATACTTAAACTCTATACAAGTTTAAATATACCTAACAAGTTCAAATATACCTAAACAAGTCAAGCATACTTTAACAAGTCTAAATATACCTAAACAAGTCCAAACATACCTAAACAAGTCCAAACATACCTAAACAAGTTCAAGGATACTTAAACTCTATACAAGTTTAAATATACCTAAACAAGTCCAAACATACCTAAACAAGTCCAAACATACCTAAACAAGTTCAAGGATACTTAAAAACTATACAAGTTTAAATATACCTAAACAAGTTCAAATATACCTAAACAAGTTCAAACATACCTAAACAAGTCCAAACATACCTAAACAAGTTCAAGGATACTTAAAAACTATACAAGTTTAAATATACCTAAACAAATTCAAATATACCTAAACAAGTCAAGCATACTTTAACAAGTCTAAATATACCTAAACAACTCCAAACATACAAACAACTCCAAATATACCTATATTCTTAAGCAAGTACAAACAAGATATTTTGTAAATGCCTGAAAAATTCTTCTAAAAACCAAGATCACGATTATTTGAATAAAAATGTAAAAAAAATGTTTTAATGTAAATTATAAAAATATTAAATTCAAAATAACCAAGAAAAAGATCCTTTTCAATTCAATAATAAGTCGTCAGATCTAAATAATCCCCCCCCCCGTCCCATTACCCCCCTCCCTCCATCCCTTCAGCACCTTCATATATTATTCATTTTGTCCAAACTTCTGTAGACGATATGTAAATTCAAATCTAAATTTTAAATCAAAATAAAGTTTTAGATTTAAAAAGAAGAAATTTTTTTTACATTTTTAAAAGAATTTGCCCCCCCTCCTTCCTCCCATCTCTCTTCTCTCCTTATATATTTATTTCTTTATAAATTTAACCGGTGGGTCAAATAACAAAGTCCCAGACTGCTATGAAAAAATGCATCAATTTTAAGACTGGGTTGACTTTGAAGTTTCATCATTGTAAATTGTCTATATTGGCGATAAAGGTTATCATTCTCGCAGATAGACAAATTTGGTGTTAAAAATTAACTTCGATATATTTGTTATCCTCGTCAGTCCTACAGAAAATGACCAAAATATTTACGCAAATATTTGTATACAGTGGCATGTCCTTTTCACAACGGTGCCCTTTCATAAACCCGGGTCTGTTCAAGATTCAAGAATGAAAGAGGCATACATGTTTTTCTAGCTGAAAAATGTAATAAACTTTAATTTTAAAATAAAAAAGGATGATATCTTTCTGATCAGTTGAACTAACATACTTATGCAATCCTAATAAATGATAAGTGTTAAAGGGGGTGACCGGCAATGTATGGCAGTTGAACTGAGATTGCAGTATTATTGAGAATTTTCTTAGGTTTCTTTTAGGACCTATCAGACGAATTTACTGTGCTTATATGTTCAGCAAGAGCGCAAATTCAATATTTAAGATCATTTATAAAAATTATTAAAAACGAAACTAATCAGATTTTTAGGAACATATTTCACATTAGTAATTTGTCAATAAATCAATGTTAGAACCGTTTGTTTCTTTTTCATCATTATATTGTATATCTTATTCTTTTTGAATTTGTTCGCAGATTTCTTCAAATTCTTTATATGTCGTCTTTCATTAAAAATTCTAGGAAATTACCGAAAATGGTTTTGAACATTGAGACATTACAGAAACCAATAACTGTATAAGATTACTTATTTTCGATGATAGGAGTTAATTAATATTTTCTTAACCTGTTCATAACAACTAATTAGTTTACTGTAGAATTTTTGTTACATTTTTCGTGGTCATCATTGAAAGATCTAAATAAAACCAATTCTCAAAACCATCCCTCCAAAATGGAAAATCTATGAGGATTTTAAGGATCGCATTTGCGCTCTTGCTGAATAAATACGCACCGTAAAAACGTCTGATAGATCTCAAATGAATCCTAAAAATCTGTTCAATAATACTGCAATCTCAGTTCAACAACCATACATTGCCGGTCACTCCCTTTAAGAAACATGGTTTAATGAATTGGATTTAAATATAATAAGTATTAATCAAACAAAGACTAACTTATCCATGACCGTTCAGAATAAAATGGTCCTTAACATGTATACGAAAAGTAAAACAAATTTATCTGTTAAAGCATATTAGATTTAGGAGTTTGAAAACCCTGTCAACAAACTGCCCTCATGTTTAAATCACACAGGACAACAACAGTCGTAAACTATAGTACAGGGTGCTGACCCGATAGTAATGTGATTTGGTTGTCATCTTGTCCGCGATTTTAATTATCATTCTGTTAACTTGGACTCAGCTATTTTGACACGTGATATTGCAGAGATAGAGAGAGAGGGGGGAGGGGTTGGCAAGTTTTATTTTATAAATACCTATATCCAACCCTCTTTAGGGCCTATAAACCCCCTTGAGACCCCCGAAATCCACCCCCTTGAGTATACCTGTATTGTATCCCTACTGTATCCCTAGGGTGGAGAAGTCTGGTGTGTTGAGTCCCTTGACTCGGACTGCGTGGTTCCAATGGGAGTTCAACCTATCCTCCAACCTGCAGGGTTCTATCCTTCCTCATTCTCCAGGGGGGCATAGAGTATAGGTGTATATAGAGTTCTATCCTTCCTCATTCTCCAGGGGAGCATAGAGTATAGGTGTATATAGAGTTCTATCCTTCCTCATTCTCCAGGGGGGCATAGAGTATATATGTTTATAGAGTTCTATCATTCCTTATACTCCAGGGGGGCATAGAGTATAGGTGTATATAGAGTTCTATCCTTCTTCAACTCAAGTGGAGCATAGAGTATAGGTCTATGGAGTTCTATCCTTCCTCATTCTCCAGGGAGGCATAGATATAGGTGTATTAAGAGTTTTATCCTTCCTCGTTCTCCAGGGGAACATAAAGTATAGATGTGTATAGAATTCTATCCTTCCTCATTCTCCAGGGGGGCATAGAGTATAGGTATATAGAGAGTTCTATCCTTCCTCATTCTCCAGGGAGGCATAGAGAAAAGGTGTATATGTATGTATACTTTACAAATAGTAAAGTAAAGTAAAGTAAATATTTGGTTTTGATTTGTAATTATATGTATATTTCATTATAACCATTTTGTTTATTTATTCTCTCGCAGCCAACCACTTTTTTATACATTTTTCATCTATATATATTTTCTCTTCATAACGATTTTTTTTACAAAAATTGATTTTAAATTTGAAATTTCATAAATGTTTCTGTTTCCCACAATCTTGATTTCTAAAAATAAAACCCTGTACGGCCTCAGAGGCCCTTGGCGGCTCTCTGCGGGGAGTTAAGCGGCCTCCTGCTCTGCCCTCGAGAGACCAGTTTGCCGCCAAGAACCCTGCCTCTGCCGCCAACCCTAAAATAGCATAGTCTCTTTTATCAATGCCGCTAGAAAAAAAATATGAATGAAGTAAAAAATAATCTATTTTTTGTGTCCTTATTATTGCATTGTTAACTTTTCTATGTCTTTGTCCTGGTTATATTCCTTGTCCTTGTTTTAGTCCTTGTCCTTGTCCATGTCCTTGTCCTTGTCCTTGTCCTTGTCCTTGTCCTTGTCCTTGTCTTTGTCCAGTCCTTGTCCTTGTCCTTGTCCTTGTCCTTGTCCTTGTACTTGTCCTTGTCCTTGTCCTTGTCCTTGTCCTTGTCCTTTTCCTTGAAATCCTCACATCGAAAGCTTTGTTTTCCTCTTTTTTGTATGGTTTTCAACTCTTTTTCTGTAATCTTTTCACTCATTCGCAAATATATTGAAATTCATAATTGCTGTTTTGTAAAGAAAAATGTATATATCGCCGAGAAAACCTGTATTTTGTAAAAAATAATATTTGTATAAACTTTCCGGTCGAACCATTATATAGATTCCTATTTTTATTCACGTTTATGTTGAGTAGTGTTTTTTAAGAAGATCTTTCCCTATTAATTAGTCCATCAATCAATCAATTAATTAATTAATGAACATTTTTTAGGAATTAATTAGCTGTTATTCCTTAGAGACACATTTATTAGAGACTATTTTCACATTTTTTTCTTTTATCACGAAAACATGTACATATTGTACACTCTGTCCAAATGCTGTTTTTTAAAAACATCACGTCAAACTAAAGTAAATTTCACGTTTGATTAAAATCTTATATGTTCTTATGTAAGAGCTATTGAATTTCCAAGACATAAGAAGATAAATTTGCACGTAAACTCAGAACTCAAGGAGCTTAGCCTTACGCGGTCACAAATGTATACCATCAATCCTGTTTAAATTTGAATGATTAATAATTATTTACTTACATACTTACTACTTACACCACCCCACCCTAATGGTACAACAATTGAAAAGTGAATGCCCACAGCACTGAATATTCCCAGGCGGTCACCCATCCAAGTACTAACATAGATCAATGTTGCTTAACTGCAGTGATCAGAAGAGAACTGGTGTTTTCAACATGATATGGCCGAAGACACGAAGTTGGCGAAAAACTTATGATTTATAGATGTGAATTCTTGTCAAGATACACAAACGAGATAAGAACCAAGGAGAGGTATATATAACCAATGAGTGTTGAACGAAGGAGTGTGTAACTGCGGTTTCAATCAACGCCCACAGTTATCATATGCCAATAAGGTAATTAACGGGCATTCATTTGCTTGCCCTGCAGAAAGATCTGACATGACTGCTAGTTAATCAGTAGATCATGAGATGAATACACACCTCTTTTAGAAGTGAAACAAGCGTAAAAATGCTTGGTCGTTTTAGACAACTCCAGGTGTAGCTGGTCCGGGCTTTAGTTTACAATTCTGGAAACCCCGGCATTGAATTTAGTTTTTACCCTGATTTTCAGAGTCATCTGGTGGTGGTGGTAAACTTAGAACTGAAGGAGCTACGCCTTACGGGGTCACAAATGTATACCATTAATCCTGCATAAATTTGAATGTCAAATTTGCAATAACAGATAAAATTAATGAAGAAAACAACTTACAAAAATCTGACAAAAATAGTAAAGCAAAGAATTTAGTTAACATTTGTTAATGCGTTAATGATTTAAATTGAAAGAATTTCTAATTATGTCTTTCTGTCCCGACTAGAGAATTAAAGCCCAATCTTTTAAGGGAGTGTTCATGAATCGAAATGATTATCTCTACTAATCTTACTTCTATCTACTTCTAAATTGAATTATTTACGATCTGAGTGAAATATTGCAACTCCGTGAATTTGTATGGACGCTACGCTCTTCGGTATGAGTCGTGTTTAACCATTTTCTCCTTATAGACGCAACAGTATAGAAAATAAGATTATGAGCGATCATTATCGAATTCGATTCAACGTTAGCCTATATCTCCCTTTCATTTTTCGCGAACACTCCCGTAAATCTCTCTCTCTCAGTATTTGCACCCTATTCAAGGGTTCTTATTGTTTAAAGAAAGTTCCACAGAAAGTTTTATAATAAGATAAAGTCTTGAACACTTTAAACCCTAGTTTTACTTACACAATTTAAAGTTCCATTACACTGTAATTTGACCAAAAGATGTATACGCTAGGGAGGAACAAGAGCTCTAAAACTCGAATTTAATCCAAAGAACAACACCTCTAAAACTTGAATTAAATTCTAAAATTTTACGCAGGATGGAATAAGAACTCTAAAACTAGAATTTAACCTGAAGATTTATACACTTGGAATGAGCAATAACTCAAAACTCGAATTCAATTCGAATATGTGTACGCAAGAAGGAACAACACCTCAAAAACTCGAATCGTATTAGCAGAAGAATTATATTCAAAGATTGATTCTAGCATTTAGACTGTTATCTACAAAGTTGAATTATATCAAATTGGATGAATTCTCATAAAAGTTTTTTGAGTTTCTAACTGAGTATCTAACTGAATTCGGCCATTTTTTAACTTTGAGGAAATTGAAAGCTCTTTTTCCAATAAATGACACATGAAAAGATCTTTAATTGAAAAGAAATCTGAAGGTCGAGTTGTTTGGTATTAACCCAGTGGTTCTACCCCCCCCCCCCACCAAAGAAAACGGCATCAGAATCCAAATGTAGAATGTCCTGAACATTTTTGATTTTTTAATTTTTGGACGGTACTCCACCCCAATTGCCACTGACAACACGTGAGGTTCATAAAAATATTGTCTTAAAATTTCGAGTATTATATTTCTCGTTGAAGTGTAGCGTAGACCCCCTTGGGATTGGTCAGACCTTGCTACTCACATATTGAAGATGTCCAGTTTATTAACACAGATGACAGGTACACAGATAGATATTTTAGACAGATGACAGATAGATATTTACACAGATATAGATAGATATTTTAAACAGATGACAGATGGATATTTACACAGATATAGATAGATATTTTAGACAGATGACAGATAGATATTTGCAGTGATAAACAGATACAAAGACACATATTTTAGAAAGATATTGATAATTCATGAAAACCGTTTTTACTATAAAATGAAGAAATCCAGTACTTGACATAAGATTTAGAACTTTAGATTTTACTCAAGCAAGATTTTCAAACATATATATTTTTAAAACCCTTTTAACAGTTTACAAACATATATTTATACAATTGCTTTAACAGTTTACAAACATATATTTATACAATCCCATTAACAGTTTACAAACATCTATTTATACAATGCCTTTAACAGTTTACAAACATATATTTGTACAATTGCTTTAACAGTTTACAAACATATATTTATACAACTGCTTTAACAGTTTACAAACATATCTTTATACAATCCCTTTAACAGTTTACAAACATATATTTGTACAATTGCTTTAACAGTTTATAAACATTTATTTTAAATTACATAGTGTTGAAAAGTGTAAAGTAATCAAAATACGATCAAAGCTGTGAAATTTTATATTATGATTTGGATCAAAGTTAAAAGTAAACATAACAATAAAAACAAATTAGAAACTTGAAATATTGATAAATAGAAAGGAAATTGAAGTAAAAAAGGAAATCGTTGTAATTTTAAGTGAGCCTCCATTTAAAAAAGAAGATAAGCATGACTGATTCACAAAGATACCCCGTAAACGTTATCTGAACAATATTGTGGAAGATATCGTTGATTTTACTCTAGCTTGGAACAAATTCTATTCTTAAAATTTAACCCAATCTTTCTGCAAGCAGATATCCACAGGTCACTTTTATACAGAAACCCAAATTGCCAAAAAAAACAAAACATGCATAGCTCAATTATTCTGTATAAGACAAAGGTACCGTTGTGAATCAGATATTCCATTTTATATATGAAAGGTCGCTTTATATAACGTTTACAGTCCTTTCAGTTCTGATGAACAACAATTTTAGATAATGTAATAAAATATAAAAATATGAAAGAATTTACAAATGAATAAAATTATAAAATATTATAAAATGAAATTTCAATAAAAATAATAATTTAAAAAAAAATATTCAAACTATAAGCTATTAATATAAAAAATGACCTTTTGGCTCAAAAAATTGATAACTATTTCTTACTGAAAAAAAAATCAACATTTCATTGTTTTGTTAACATCACACCTTCGATATTTCGAACTTTTAATTTTTGATGC